ATATCTATCTATCTAACGTAATAGTTTCCTGTTTGATTTTTGAAAGATAAGATGCGGATCGAATGATCAGTGGGATTGGCTTCAATACACTTGACTGTCTAGAAATATATTTAACTCTTAATTGTGGCTTTGTATCGGTATACGACAACCAATGCAAGGGCACCAAAACGGCAAGGGGGCAGATTTTCGTAGAGGGCCACTTTTTAATTTACATGATATTCAGGAGGTTCGGGGTGGCAAAGATTTTACCTGAATTTGAACTTCAACATTAAAATTACCTTCAATCATTACAATTGCAATTATAGCATCTCTAAATCCGTAAAGATTTAGGGGGATCAGGGAAAGATGTTTATAGTTTCTGCAAGCTCGATGACTGCATTTCTGACATTTTCTGGAAAGAATTCGCCAAAAAATTGCGTTATATTGACTTGTGCATTCATGTGTAGTGTTTATACCTTGCTACGGTAAATCATTGGTTTGTTTGTATTAAAAGGGCACTTTTGCCCCCGTTAGAAAAGGCATAAGGAACGCTAGCCCGCCCCGTCTCCGCCCCCTCTCTGGCGTCCCTGATAGTTCTATCAGCTCTAAACCTAGCGGTCTAGTCTTATTTGGTTCAGTGTTATTACGTGCAAGAGGAATTTGATTTACTAATTTATTTGTTCTCGATAAGTCTATCAGTTCCAAACAATTTTCGGTTATCTTTTCATGTCACGCAATCACGAAATCAGTAATCCAATCCCTAACCTCTTAACCAATCATATTTTGTGACTGCGTGACATGAAAATGTAGCCTCAATTTTCCTATATGTGGAGTAGAGAAGTCCGCTTTACGAGTCATCGTTACTACAGAAGCTCATGGAAATCTGCTTAACCGGTAGTGTGTTGAAACGAACCGTTCACTCAGTCTACAACGAAACAATCGGCAATGTAAGCCGATAAGTTTGAGGAAACGTTCTGATTAAAAAAATCCGAAAGCGATGAAGACCGAAGTCAAATGCATGGCCTTACTGTGTAACACGAAATAAATCTTCATGAACCCGGTTTGCGATATGAATTATTATTGCATATCTGACCGAAGTCCATAAGTTATTATATTCCTAAGCTGAAATTTATACCGCGTGGGCGGCTTATTCCTTCACGGCGATAATGAATTATGCGAAATATCAGTTAAAGCAAGACCTGTCATAGCTGTACTGTGTCACTCGTGGAAATATGATGACAATTTGATGATGAACAAATGCGATAGCAAATTCTATAATGCTCGTTAAATTATACGACCACTGAAAGCCAACCTACGCATAAATCTTTCCTAATTACCAATTTTGGAAAGTTGGGGGCGCATAGAATTTCGTTTGCGTTGGCTAGTGAAAACTTAAGATTATACTTAACAACTTTTATTGTATACTGCACTTTTTAGTACAAAGCGAATCGAACCTACCGCCCGAATCTTCTTCTATCATTGATTCTTAATATGTCATTGCTACCCTTAGACAATTTGTGGTGAAATTTACATGGTACATTTTGTATTCCGTTGTACAGTAATACTTAACTTATTTTCATACTTGCTTTCAAAACAATCAACGTTTACATACCGTTCCTTTTCCTGAAGTCTTGGGATTACCGGATCAAATAAAGTTTCTTCCAACTATATGCCTCGTAGGTCTTCACTGGCAAACTACTGACTACAAATACAATGAGCTAAGGGACTTCACCACATTCTCTTGGCATGTATGCGTAGGAAGTACGGCCCACTGGTCAATCAAATATTGCCACGAAGCGTCGTGTATCTGGCTTGTGAGTGGGCGGCGGAGGCGTCTTTAAGTCAGTTTACTGCTGGTGAAAGAACAGTTTCGAAACCAACTTTAAGCTAAATTATATTCTAACGGGCTTAACTTATTTACATTGGATAACTCATTGAATTCTTAACTGTTTCGCCAGAAAGGTCCATATATTATGGAAACCAAAACAAAACCTACTTTATTTGTATAGATTCTGGATAGCTCTATATAAACAGTTTGTAGTCACTTAAAAATATTACAACAAAAACACAAGACTAACCCTAATATTATTCCTAACCATTTCCCTAATCCAAACCCTAACCCTAATCCTAACCCTAAAAGTCTAAAAATAGTAACTGTTTCTAAATCGTATATGTTCTTTGCTAAATCTGGCGTAAACAAAACATGGTATTATATTTATATTTTGGAAAACCTGTATAGTCTTAAAGTATGCATGCATATGCTATAAGGCAGTGATTATACCTTGATCGAAATTAATTTCGGTAGAAAAAAGAAATTTTGACATTGACCAACGTTTTGTGCTCCAAAACACGCCAATTGCATACCCTCGTGATTTCAAAGACAAAAAGAGATCTCTCAGTTTAAAAATAAAATCATTTTAACCTTACAAATTAAATATACAATATTAAATAGAGCTACTTGATACTGTGACGCGTATTAAGCAGCAATTAAATCATAATTGCCACTCTTATATGTTCTTTTAAAAAGAACACTCTTAGTATAGCTTTAAAAAATACTTGAAAGTCTACCAGATAAATATATTTTTTTAAAGTTAATTCTTATATATGATGAGATGGAGTACCTTTATGTTCAAAAGTACCGTGGGACTTAATTAAACTACATCACTGTTGACATTTTGTAACATTGAAAACCACAGTAACGTCAATGGTCAGTAATCCACGTTTTTCAACTCGATTTATGTAGAGGGCCCCCTATACCTCTTCACAATATGCTTTCACGCAAAAAGTATAGGGGGCCCTCTATGTACTATTGAGTAAAACACGAGCAGGAGTGCTTTATCAGATATAAAGGCACAGACTGCGAGTGTTTTTATATGAAAACTACTTAAAAGTTGTTGGAAGGTTAGGCTATAAACAAGATAGTGACCAGGTTGTGGTATTTAGGACATAATAATATACATAAAGATATTACTCGACTGTGATTGGTTGATTTCAGTGCAGTTAATCCCAAACAGCAGTGCAATTTTCTGTAATCACAGTGCAATTTTCTGTAATCACTGTGCAATTTTCTGTAATCACAGTGCAATTTTTTGTAATCACAGTGCAATTTTCTGTAATCACAGTGCAAAAATCTGTAACAAACTAATCTGATTGGTGGAAAAACATTGTGATGATTAAATCAACCAATCAGTTTAAAGCAATTTAGTTTAAAGAAGTAACGGTCACAGATTGCTTCAAAACAAAACAAACATGGCGGCGGCGCGCTACAGTGAAGTAAAAGTTGCTTTCGCGTGAAAAATATGGCTTTTATCTTTATTTTTAAATGGAAAAGCATTGACCTTAAACAAGACTAACACAAATTACATAGTTGAGTGGAATTTTCAAGCTTAGCGTTGCATAATGTGATATAACAAAGCCGGGAAAAGTTTGCCGGTGAAATGTTCACTATATTAAAACGCGTAAGTTAAAACTACAATTGTCTCGAACATTTTTATGTGAAATTATTAATAAGTAATAGCATGGTTTCTCGTGAAATTTGGATAAACATGCACTCGTGAGTTTTTCAAAGACCTCAAATAGCACTCGTCCTTCGGACTCGTGCTATTTTGAGGTCTTTGAAAAACTCACTCGTGCATGTTATATCCAAATTGGACTCGAAACCATGCTATTACCTATACTAAACATACCATGCAAGTACTTAACTGATTGAACGATTCAGTCTATCTACAGTGTAATGTAACGCTATAGAGCCAAAAATCTGTTTCAGAAAATTGCAGTCCTAGGGGTGGAAAAATACAAACATTTTCTGGGCGGGAATACCTCCAGACCCCCTACTATTAGTATTATCATATAACACCCAGCACCAAGTCACCACTGAACAACCACCAGTCATCAGTGTACGTTATCTCTTTACACTCAGTATAGTGTGGTTTCTTTGTAGATGCCCCCACGGACGAGTTCTTAAAATAGACTCTGCGTCCCGATCAAACGAGAACAAGAATTGCATATGAGAGTTGATGAGAGTTGACTGGATCGGTACTACCGCGCGCGTAGCGAATCTCTCCATTACCAGAAATATGGGACATTTTGCTCCCGCTTTTGTAGTCAGCGGCTAAGTCCGTTTTATATGCCTAACATTGCCTAACATAAGCAAAACGACTTCGCATTTTACTTTGAATCTCCAATTCAAGTATTATTCAACCAAAAACTGTGATTTTAAACTATATTTTGCAGTTTTTGCTGAGTACTTCCGGTATTTTTACCTTTAACCCCGCAATTTTTTATCAAGACTAAAAATATCGCAAATATCCTAAAAAATCCTAAAATATCCCTGTGTTTTTACGTGAGAAAGCCTGGGTCTAGGCCCTGTTTACACTATACCGGATTCGCTGGTCACGACATCTTCTTTTGCCGTTACGGAGCAATGGTTAGTAGCAAATACTTATTAGTTTGACAGAATTGGCATGTTTATTTGGGTCTCTGAGATTAAAAATCTTCACAGCCTTTCGATACCTACAAAATTTGCGGACCCACTCCGATAGCAATCCGGTATAGTATAAACGGGGCCCTAGTCTTTCAAAATAAACAAGAAACATGGCTGCTCGAAACAGCTCAAATTTGTATTAAAACTTGTCGTTTTGGATATTAAGATGGCCTAATGGCGACATAGAAAGACCGTAAAATTAAAAAGGCGAACTTTTAAACGTTTCGGGAACTAGTTTCCCCGGAAATTACAGCGATTTATTTAGCTAAATTAACAGTTTGGAAATATATCGCGAGCTCGGCACTTTGCATCGCCCGAATGGATGTTGGTCTATTCGTCGGATATTTACCTCTTGTGTCACAAGTTTACTATAAATTACACTATGAAATTCATCGAATTGCGAGTAAAAATACAACATTCTCAGGAATCGGCTAGAAGCGTGCAATACTAGCGATTTTTGTTTAGAAATACTGCTTGGCATGACCGTCTTGTTAAAATTTGAACCAGTTCAAAAGTTGATGAGGGTGCATGAGAGTTCGTGAGAGTTGGCTGTATGGTTTTAATCTATCGTGGCTGAAATGCGGGCTCCAACAGTAGCGTATCCAGTCCGACGATTTAGTCCCGCTATTTAAATTGTTACTTTTTTCTACCACTAAGTAATGATAAATTATTGTTAATAATTTTTTTATTTTTTGGATGCCCAGAATGCAGGAAATAGCATTTCCGGGTTTCAAATTTCAAAAATTTTCTGGGGATTATTCCTCTAATAAGTAATGATAAATTGCAGTTATTAATATTCTTTTTTACTTTTTGTGCATTTTTTCCATCTTTTATTTCAAATACAAGTATAGTTAGCATAAATTTTAGAGCAAATTTGGATGCTCAGAATGCAGGAAATGGCATTTCCGTGCTTCAAATTTCAAAACTTTTTGGGGGAGTACACCCCCACACACCTGACCATTGCTATCCTTCTCTAATACGTGATACCAAAGTTATCAAGGGATTTCTTAAGTAATGATAGATGATGGTTATTTTTTTTTTACTTTTTGTGCGTTTTTTCCTTTATTTATTTCAAATACAAGTATAGTTAGCATAAACTTTGGAGCAAATTTGGATGCTCAGAATGCAGGAAATGACATTTCCGGGATTCAAATTTCAAAACTTTTCTGGGGGAGTACTCCCCGAGACCCCCCATTTATGTGTGGTATATTGGCCACACACGTGGCCTTCAGCCATTGCTATCCCCCTCTAATATAGTATCTCACAGAAAGGTCCCTTTTCAAAAAATGCCCCCCCTTCCCCACGGGAAAATCCTTAAAAAAGGCCCTGCTGTATATAGGTGTGTGGTAACAACTGTCCAAGTAGCTATCGATCACTATCTTAATTTTCATGAGACCAATTCGACATTTTTGTCATCCTCAGCCACATTTAGGCCTGACTTTCCCTGTCCTTCTTGTGGCATTTCAAATTTTCTTACATCCTGCAGTGTCTCAGGCAGTTTCACATTTAACGTTTCTGGTAGCAATAGAGCAAGTGCACCGGACAACAGAAGCAAGCCACCAAATATAATAACAGGTACGGCCTCAGCTGTGTATTCGCCCTACAGAAAAAAGTTAAAGTTGTATTTGGCACTCAATGGGTTAATTTACATGCATGACACTCATTTAAAGGTGTATGTGACACTTAATTTAGCTAGTACATACCAGTAACAAAATTTGTGGTGCTGCAATGCCGCTAATTCTTGCCCAGAATATCCCTGAACCAAGACCTACGTTCCTACATTATGAATTGTATAAAATATTTATCCAATTTGCTATCTAAAACTGAAAGTGATAATGAGAGATGATTATTTAATATTGAATATACATACCGTATCACGGTAGGATAGAGTTCACAAGTATAGATATAAATATTTCCAAAATTTCCAGACACAAACATTCTTCCTGCTATCGCTAAGACTGTCACAAGGGTCTGGACACTTTCTATATATGAAAAGATTATATATAGCAATGACATTGCAGTGACGTAAGAACAATGGGAACATGTGTTAGTTTTATTAACCTATTGAGTGGCAGCACTTTCCCCTTGACAAGTAAAATTACGTCTGGAGTTAGACAGATTCAAAAAATATAGTATGGCGCATCAGGGCGCATTACCGCTTAAAGGGTTAACAGGATGCATGGGCAGATTACTGTAACCCACTGAGTGGCAGCATTCTGTCTCTCCTTGACAAATAAAATCGTAAAATAAAAAATAGGGTGCATTGCTACTTAAGGATTAAAATTTAAACAGCCAAGTAAACTAGATAATTTAACAGATAGAGGGTATGACCTTGAGCTTGACTTCTTGTTAAAGAAGTTCAACAGTGTACCCATTAAACCTAGCTGATTTAAGATTAAATATTAACACTAGCCATTCCAACCTGCAGAACCTTAACAGTAAACCTACAGTACAGTATAGTTACTGTATATACAAGCAATTCAAGAAGAATCTGAGCAGCCAACCCCGGGTCAGTCTGGGGTTAAAGCTAAAAGCTGCCTTAAAGAAGAAACAGAGCGTAATCCATGAATAAGTCTAGAAAACATCAGAATATCTTACTGTTCGACTTTGGCAACACTCCGGCAATAATAAGAGCTGATCCAGCGACAAGAAAAATAACACATACTGGTATACGTCGTCCAAATCTAAATAAAGAAATATTTAAACTTGAACTCTTCATCTTATAAATAAAAAGTTGCCGGTATTAGAGAGGTGTCCGTATTAGAGAAGTGTCCGTAATAGGGAGCTGTCCACTGTATTGGAGTGGTATCCGTTTTACTGTATTAGAGAGGTGTCTATATTATTAAGGTGTCCGTATTAGAGAGGTGTCTATATTATTAAGGTGTCCGTATTAGAGAGGTGTCTTTATATTAGAGAGGTCGCCACAATTAACGCACCTATTTAAGATCACAATGGTTGAAGTAATAATGATCGGCTCCAATGCCCCACTGATGAAGAAATTTAAGTATTTATTTCCAGCAAAACTTGAGATATTCAATGACAGGCCATAGTAATCCAGAGATGTTGAAAACCTAAAAGATTACGAAATGTTAATGTTAAGTGGGCATGCAGTTGTTATTAGTAGTTATACCAGATAGCTTTATCAGTTCTAAACTGTTTTGCCTAGCTGTCCAGTCAGTAGAAAACTTGCGATGTTTGTTTAGGTAAAACTATAGAAGCAACTAGAAAAGCTAACGCTGATGCATATAATTGTAGGAATCGTAGTCACAGAGATGAATAGATAGATACTGTATATAGATGCTTCATTTATGCAGAGTAATTCCATCAGCGTATAAATGCTGTTCTGAGGCCCTGGCTTAGTAGATACAGGTATACTGTAGTATTTACAATATTAAAAATGCTAAAGTTAAAAACTTAGGTATTTGCAAGGTATATATTACAAAGTATTGAATAGTATAAGCATGCATCAAATTAATATATATAAATGTAAAAATCCTTAACTGAATTGCAAATTTGCATGATAAAATTTGGAAAGAAATGCAGTTTTTAATGTCATTGGAAAAAGCGTTCCATCTTTGAGTTCCAGAATACTGAAGTTTTCTTTTTAGCTGTTCGGTTTTCAGTTTGGAAAGTGTAAAATCGCTCTTTCTCCGGGCTTTAAGATGGCATATGTATAACCGAACGTCGAGTGCGGTTAAGCTCTATTCCCTCGTACTCATGGTGGCGACTTTTGTACACAGCAATCGCTTTATGAAAGCGTCTCCTCTCCAAATATATTGACTCCATTTGAGAGTTTGAGGTGGTTACGATTTCAGGGTCATTTTACGTTTACGATTCTGAATACTTTGTATAGCTTCACTTTAGATGAGACGGAAGGACGTAACAGGCTAACAGCCGTCCCATGCACCACATCGTAATTGTCTAACATGCAGTGGTAACACTATTGGTACTAATAGAATTGCAACGAATAAAGGTATATGCATCGATGGAAAGGAAGGAGAATGGGAAACGGCAAAGCTGGTTAACCACGGAAGCAGTATGAGATAGTAAAGAAAGATTTGGAACGAGATACCATGCATCAATGAAAATTTAGCTTTGGATCAAAGGAGATGGAGAGCAACAATTAAAGAATTCTGAGGGCGATTCTCAAACAGATAAACCTTACTCAGATCTACCTAACCTGCATACATTTTCTACAACACCATGCAGGCAGTACTTACCATGCCACCATCATAGTCAAAGATCGTTTCCTCAACACACTTGACCTGAAAATATCAGCAATTGTATAACTCTTGATATCAGACTTGTTTGCTTCTGTCTTTTCAATCTCATTAACCGTTTTATCAAATATATCTTTTGGAAAGGGAATCTTGTTGAAAGTACTGATGTTTCTAACGATATTCTCTGCCTGGTCAAAACGGTTATTGATCAGAAGCCAACGAATGGATTCGGGCAAGCACCTATAGTAAAATGATAATATTTTGAGTTAAAATTTAAGGTTTTAAGTAAATAAATGTTATCTCCGAACAAATCACATCCGCGACCAAACGTTTCGATACTCCAGACAAGGAGTCTAGTGTGTCAGTAGTCATGCAGAGTGATATTTTGAATATTTGCTCCTTGTACATCTAATTCAATAATTATGGTTGTCCTCTGAAAGTTAAAACCGCAAAACCTCGACCCCTATATGCGCAAAAATCAACTACCATACTGTTATCAGGGTGGAGAAGTAATGGTCATCCAGTCTTTATTATTTGTAATAGCCTCGCATCCAGTATATAGTTTAATTTGACCCGCATTATACTGCTGTCCTTTAATTAAATAGCGAAACTACCAACTACGACAGAATCACCATAACCAGTACTTACCAAACAAGTCCAATTTGAAAGAGACAAACTGACGTGGACATCAACTGAATATAACGCCAATCTTTGATGAGATACGAGAACAGTGAAAATGTCATAATTCCAACAGCCCAAGGAAATTCCACACCAAGACCAGTGAAAGTTCTGTATTGACTGGCAAATATCTCCACCAGACTGGTAAAGGTGACGATTAGTAGGCCCTGGAAAACGAGGAACATAAAACAAGTAAATGATTTGAACTGTGCAGCAGGGGTCCAATTAATGCTTTTGGAATTACGTTGTGATAATCCATCAAGATACTGGATCATCAGCCTTGGTGTAAACATAAGACGAATTATTATACATTGTAGTCACTACGTGTCTTCTGATTAGCCAGTAGCTCACATGCACCTAAATACTCGCTATGTAACTTTACAGCAAGCGCCAGTTTAAAAAAAACACACCTAATTAAATAAATAAACGAAAAATGGACTCGTATAATATCCTCCAATGGTTCTGGGAACAAAGGATGCAGAGTTCAATATTATTTTGAAAAATTTGGTCTGACAATATACCAATCCACGTCTTGGTCCGACATGATCGGACACCAATTATTAGTAAAACCCATCATATGTGTGTGGCTGTGTGTGTGTTTGTTGATTTTAAATATGAAAATGTGTGGGACTATAATTTTGGTTAAACAGTTTGAGTGAAAATTGGATGATAAATTAGCAAATATTTGTTTTGTTTTGCCGGGCACAGTATAAACTGAATGCATGATTAGCCATTGTATAATTTATGACCTAAATCGCCAAGTGTCCTTAAGTTATTTATAAGACACAAAAGAGAAAAGGTGTACAGCACATTGCATTCATTTCACTTGCGTAAGAAACTTGAATATAATAAATTCTATACTACATGCATACAGGGTGTATAAAAAAAAACGCAACCTCGGAATTTCCTAAGAAATCACTTTGCAATTCTTAAGCATAAAAGATTTTAGGCCCCTGGGAATTGAAATCGAATTGCTAATAGATCATATTACTGTTGTTGTGTATTAAATAAATGCATAAATTTTGCTTTATGCACTCGCGTGTGCAGTAATTTTGACAGTTGTGCTATTTTAAATTCCCAGGCGCCTAAAATCTTTTGTCTTTAAAACAATGTCGATTTCTTGGGAAATTCCGAGGTTGCGTTTTTTTTTATACACCCTGTATACAGGGTGTCCCAAAAAACCCCGAAAACTATTGAAATCACTTATTGTTAAATATGAATGCCCTACCAAACAGCTGGACGTAATGATGCGTAAAATATTGACAAGGTGCATGTATCAGAATTTAGTTAGGAATATCTCCTGGTAAAGTGCGCGATTTTCTGCTCCTGGGAATTAAAAACAGCTTCTTAAACAGTTTCTTTATGCATAAAATTTACTTATGTCAATCATTTATGCACTCGTGGGAACCAACAGAGCGCTAAGGCATTCAAATTCTAACAATTAAATTGTTATTGGTGATTTCAATAGTTTTCGGGTTTTTTGGGACACCCTGTACTTTGGTACTCATCTCAACAAAATCGCAAATGATATAGGATATATTGTAACTATAAGTATAATAACTTCCTTTGTACGAGTAACAGGTTAGTTTGCAAAAATGATAGGAAATTTTTAAAATAAATGTATAGCTAAAGGTTCGGCCATAACCTCGCGCGGCCCGTACGTGCAGAGCAATCAGTTGACGGCCATGCATATAATTGGAGTCTTGCTTGGAAAATGGTCGATGGCTGACTGTTACGTCGAACGTATATACCCGATTTTTTGGTGCTTGTTCTAGTCTAACGCCGTATTTATACGACCTACCAGATAGTTCGTCTTTTTCGTGTGTACGGTTAACAAGTTTTCCTTGACAGATTTTGTTGCTCGTGTGCATGCATGGCCAATGTTGTTAAACATTTATTTAATGTCATGACCGCCTTTTGTTTGCCAAAACCATAAATTTTCCTTGAGTCCAAAAGCTGGCATTACTAGCTTTGGAACAAGGCTCCTTGGCAAAGAAAAATTATCAATTATTTTGCCGTACACACAAACAAACAAACAAATAACTTGGATAAATTGTTCGTCTGTACGCGAGGCTTAAATCTTGTCAGTTGTCAGTATCGGCTAAGAATTTCAACTAACCTGAAGTACGAATCCGAGGAAGAACCGAAGGACAACAAATGCGATATAGTTCTTTATAAAGAACAAAAACAAGCCAAGAACAAATGAAGAAAACATTGTAAACAGGAACACAGGTCTTCTTCCATATTTGTCTGAAAATGACCCGAACACCAGACTCCCTAACATTACTTCGACAAAATACATGCTTGTGGCTAGGCTGACTTTGTAAGCGTCGTCACAGACAAGATCCCACTAAAATGGATTAGAAAGGTTATTAAATGTGATGCAGTGGGTCACACTGTAGATATAGTATAATTATAGTATTCTATATAATAAGCAGTCTGTCTGAACACGATATTTCGTGCAGTGTCAAGGGACAAGGATACCGTATGCAAGTATACCTGAAAATGTTTTCGTTTCTGACATGCACTGGCACCGACCGTTCACGATTTTATCTGGGAGTCCAGTGTACTGCAAAAATCGTTTCAGACGCGGAATTCAGTGTAGGTAATGTAGAATACTACTATCTAGAACTCATTAATAATTCATGAGCAAATTAGCGAATGAACTCACCCTAATTCGTCACATGATTGAGGTTGGATACCGCAAGGAAACACGCTAAAAATCATATACCATCACTGTTGTTAGATGAAAAACGGTTTTCATCTAATAACTGAGATCCTAATTACAAATTCAAGTCAAAACACAACAATATACTATAATAATTACTGACGGTCATAATAACCTATTGTTTTCTCTCTGCATTATATCAGCGAATGTCGAGAAGCTAAAATAGCACCCAGCATTATTAAAAATAATGCAGCGTGCACACAGCATTATTAAAAATAATGCAGCGTGCACACAGCATTATTAAAAATAATGCAGCGTGCACACAGCGCAGCGTGTATCAGTGCACACAGACATTATTCGCAATTCTTCGTCATCCTGACAAGTACACGCGATAACGTGAACATCTCAAGATGAGAAGTTGACAGTGCTAAAGGCCCCTCATACAATATCATCGGGCGCCTGAAGCACTGCCAAAACGGTCGCTGTGAGTTCTTTCAGCTCAACTTTATAGAGAAATAGTTTCGTTTGCGCTTGTGGGATTTTATCCTAGATATACGCATGTGCAGAACACACCATAACTTCTATTCCCGTGTTTATCCAGTTTAATAATGTTTTCGTTCTAGATGTTATGTAAACAACTCGTTTCTCGTGTTTCATCAGGGGACCAAACACTCGAAAACAATAAAACACTCGCGCTTCGCGCTCGTGTTTCATACAGTTTTCTCGTGTTTGGATCCCCTGATGAAACACTCAAACTCGTTGTTTACATATAACATAAACTTCCGTGATTTGTGTCTGAATTACCTGAACAAGCTTTTACCTCAGATATTATAGTCGTTTCTCCCGCAGGGAGGTCATAGGTCCAACCATTTGGGCATGGTATCTTTTCTGAAGTATTATAACCATCAAACAGATGACATCCATCCCATTCTGACTTCCCATTCTTCCATATCAATGGTACAAGCCGGCTAACATCTGTGCTGTTTGCTATTTTGCAATGATGTTTAGTTTTCACTCCTATAAACGCCATTCCAAGATAGTTCCAGCATATATGAATGAAGTTGGCAGAGAGATATAGGTAGAGTAAGACTTGAAATTTGCCTGGTTTGCCCAGAGAGTTTGTTAAAGTATCCGTTGTCATTTTTGGAGGTTTTCTTGAAGTGATTCACTGACATATACCATGCATAAACTGCAATAGTTGAAATAATGTTATATACTGTAGTAATAAGTCGTGTGCATGCACGAATCTAAACATTAATCAGATGAATGGAAAGACAACGGAACATTCCGATCCCTGGATCGTGACTGCATGGTAGAACCGTAGAACCGTAGAACTATATTGTTATGTACACTTACCTGAAGTAACTTAATTAATATACGGCAAAACTTGTGATACATGTAGATCGCGTGCGGTGTTTTTGTCGGCAGTCGATATGAATACTCGTTAGTCTGAGAAATATAAGCAGGGGATTCCGACATTTCGAGAACGTTCTTTGTCAGGGGAAGTTATATAGGAACATTAGAGGGGTCAGTGCTGAAATCCTAGCCCGTTGGATTTTCAAGGCGGCCTTGCATGGAGCATGTACTACCATTCTTTTCTTGTGACTGTGTTTTTGAAACACGATTCCCAGCATTTTAAGGGTGTTTTGTTTTTTCGTATTAAGACGAGAAAATACAATAACTACACGGCTCATTATTCAGAATGCCATGATTCTGAATATAAGGAGAATCAGCATTATGCATGGTCTGCCAGTTCAAAAGTTGAATAGAAATAAATTAGAATTCCGGTATTTCAATTGTGCAATAAGGCCAAATCTTGGGAAAAACTTGTTATAGTATCAACGATTGTTTCTGTTTACGCTAATCTGAAACCACCCTAATTTTTATTACTAATACGATTCAATATAGTGAACACACAAGATCACGCTAAATTTAGATTACATTTTTTTATACATCCTGTGCAGGAAAAAATTCCGATGTTGGTACTCTTCAGATTGATAGATATAAGTAGGGGATCCGATAGCCTGCGTAGCAGACGGTTTTTTGGGGTAGGACTTGCGGGCGAGAAAATTAGGGTGGGAGAACTGTGCGCGGACGGAGAAAAGGGGCGTTTTTCACGCCCGCCCTTTTCTCCGCCCGCGCGCAGTTCTCCCGCCCTAATTGTCCCGCCCGCAAGTCCTCCCCCAAAAAACCGTCTGCTACGCAGGCTACGGATCCAGCGTTTCAAGCTTCGTCTCAATATAAATATGATACGACATAATAACGCGACCGCTCTTGTGAGTTGTGGTGTCGTGTCGCCTTTCAAGCTGCATGGGAGACGCGGGTTCCATCCTTGGTCGGACCCCTTTTCAAGGTCTTAAAATAATCGAGGGGAAAGTGCTATTAGGACCTATTAGGATTATAGACTTTCGCGTCTAAAATCGTAGTTACCGTGGACCCCCTATCAATTGGGCAATAGCCTGTTGGGAAATCCGCTCACCAATGAGTGGGAAAGTCATAGGCCGTAGGCTGTTGGCCAAAATTATTTCGCTTCGTGGCACCCATGTGGGAAATACTTGGTTTGGGGTTTATTTGAAAGGCATATAGGTACATCACTACCAAAAAAAAAGTTCCCAAGCAAAAAGTTGCCCAATACCGAGAAAATGGGTGATCAATGATTATCCTCTATTAAATTGTATTACAGCAAAAAATGGGAAATTTTATAATTCAATTACAATAGAAAAAACAAAAAACCGCATATAAGACTTTTAAACAGTTTTTTGATTTTTCAAATAGTCTTTGAGTTATTGCTGTTTTAAATGTGAAAATTGGACCAAAATGTCGCAATAAGGACTGGGTACTAGGTCAAAAACGCGTTTTTGACAGCGTATAACTCGAAAACAATTTTAGATATAAAAAAACTGTTTAAATGTCTTATATGTAGGTTTTTGTAAGCTTTCTGATGATGCAAGTCATTTTTGTTGTAATTGAATACAAAATTTCACATTTTCTTGCTGTAATACAATTTAATAGAGGATAATCACTGATCACCCATTTTCTCGGTGTTGGGCAAGGTTTTTTGCTTGGGAACTTTTTGTGGTAATTAAGCATCTATGGTTCTATGAATTGAACCACAGAAAATCTATTTCCCAGGGGGGTGCCACGAAATTGCTTTTCTAGGCACTTTTTCGCACAACAGCCCACGGCCTATCAACTATAAACTCAAACTCGGTAAACTGATATACATAATGAAATACACAAGTAATTTCCTGATTATTTTAACCTTTATCATTCTATATGATCGATATTAAAAGCATTTATTTAAACACGTTAATAATATTATTACAGCATGTAGCTGATGTGGTCGTGTGACTAATACTATACATTATTACTAACTAATAATAATCACATTTGATGTGGCTAATTTGACTAGCTAATTAATATTTCACATAAATACGTATAACAGCAATCACATTGCTTGACAACACAGTAAAGTGGCTCCCTATACACCCTACACTTGACCCTACACTTCTTAAAGGCCCGTTTACACGGGCGATTTTTGCTGCGATTTTAGTTGCGATTTTCTCCTTTTGGAGGATGTGAAGGAGTAGGTGAGTTATAAATGTTCCAGGTTGTGAAATCTTATAACAACTTCTTAAGTAATCTACTCCTTCACATCCTTCAAAAGGATAAAATCGCAACTAAAATCGCAGCAAAAATTGCCCGTGTAAACGGGCCTTAAGAAATGGAAGATTTTCTGATTTGCATAGGCGTACGGGCACAATTTTATTTGGGGGGGGCAAACAAAATTTGCCCGAATTTTTAAGCTGATGACAAAAAGTGCCCGAATTTTTATAATAAGACTTTTATTTGATTTTACAAATGAATTATCTATATTTTAACAAGTGCATTCAACATTTAAATTGGAAGCCTGGCTAAGAGGTTTCACTTAGAAGAAATAGCTATTTCGTCCATTTCGTCTACCAAAAGTATCAATTATTTTAACCATGTCGTTCTTAATAGTCGGGTTAGCATATGCTCGTTCAATGTTAATGACAGCAATATAATTCAAGCGTTTTTCGTCCATTGTCGAGCGGAGGTAGGTTTTCACGCGCCGAAATCCACTGCCGGAATGACCTTTCAGCGGTACATGATGTAGCAGGCATCGATGCAAGAATGTTTGCTGCCTTGTATAATACAGGTAATAAGTCGCATAGTCGACTTTTCTCGACTTCAAAAAGACTCCTATCGACATTGTAAAACTCTGCCACAACATCAAAGCTGTTTTCTAAAAGTGAGTCGTTTAGCACAACGTCTCCCAAAGCACTTTCATTTCATTGGACATGATCTGTGCTCTTTCCCACAAGAGTTCAAAATTCTTTTTGTTGCGACATTTACGGAGCGTGTTGATCGTGAGATCAACATTTATTTCATGCAGTGATAACGTCGACGCCTTTCCCTTGTAGATAGTTACTTAGACTGCTTGTTTTTGATAAAATCACCACCTTCAGAAGAATCAAGCCAAATACGAATTCAAAATCACAAATGACACTCAAAATGGCGACGCTGTCAATGTACGACTTAATAGTATCCTTATCCTTTGCTAAAATGAGAAAAGCTTTGAGCTTTGATAATTTTCGGCATTTCCTCGGTGACTGCTTTTACTGCTTCCCATGTCTGCAGGACCATTTCGTTTCACTCAAAGATTTTAGTGTGAGAACAAGGTGATCACCATCTATCTTAACAGAATTAAACACGGCATGGCGTTTGGACTTACCTCCAAGAAATTATACACATTTGTAATGTCCCTAGTGCATTTCGGAGCGGTTGCACATCACTCACTGCGTCTTGCAGTGCCAAGTTAAGGATATGCGCTATTGCTATTATTTAACTATCAAGTTACATAATCTTTTTTTGCCCGAATCTGGGTGAATCCCTTGCCCGAATGGCTTGATTCTCAAAATTTTTGGGGGGGCAGTTGCCACCTGCCCCCCCGCCCCGTACGCCTATGCTGATTTGGACATGAATTTCTGGACAATAATTATTTGTTGAAAAACGAAGAGTATCTGACTTGAATAAAACAACAAGTAAGGAGTTCGGAGTTTTTAAAAACTTACTTCTAATAGCCGTTGCTATGGCAACAATGACGTTTCAATATGACGGATATTTTTTATTTAAAGTAATTTAACTCGAAAATAAGGTCGGTGACCCCCATTTTTTATTTTATAGCATGATTTTTTTTAGTATTTTGAATTATTTTCGTGATTTAAAAAAATTCTGTCATGCCAAAATTTTTCATGATCGGAAAATGTAATAATTCGTAACAATTTTTTTTCGCATGACAGTATTTTTTAAAAATCATAGTGAATGATTCACAATACTAAACGAATTCTTTTTATGAAATAAAATCTGGGGTAACCGACATCATTTTCAAGCTAAATAACTTTAAACCCAAAATATCGGCCATGTTGAATCGTCATTGTTGCCATAACAAGTTAACAACGGCAGTTGCGATTTCTTTTTTGCGAAGAAATCTAACTCTGTAGTTATTATTTTCTAATCGGACTTTCTTTGTCTTTTAACAAACAGGGATTGTCGAAAAATTGGATCTAAATCGGAGATCTTCCATTTCCTAGTAAACTGTAGGGAGCCACCTTAATTGTACTTTCTATGTACTTTGCAACATTTTGTGCATATCTTGTTCATGTTGTTTCTACAGGGTGTATCAAAAAAAAACTGAACAGATTTGAAATTGCTCTCAATTTCGCAAAACACCTATTTGTATCTGGTTTTTTATATATATAGCTTCTTTGGGTACTTATAATGTAAAATAATGAAAAAAATTTCTCGAACTCAAATTTTGTGAACCAGGG